CTAAAGAAGAGGCAAATCTACTGCATTTGATGTAATCTATGGTTAAATACTTTAATTCTTAAACCTGGAAAGTATACTGATAAGATTAATGAAGTTTGTTCAACTTTGGATTTCCTCTCTATCTGATCCTTTGACATTAGCAATGTTGGGGCAGTGTGTATTTTATGCATTTCTTTAGTCTTCTCAACTTGCTAATATTTAACATAATCTGAATACACCAATGAAGATATTTCTTGTATTCTTATCAGGATCACATTTTATATTAATTATTGACAATAATCTGACAATTCTCTAAGTAATTTTTTATTTTTTAACTGCATTTAACCAGTCATGTTAGTATTTGCTTCATAGTGCCTATTATGTTTGCAGTCACCTCTCCAAGAGAAGCACGACAGTAACGCAGAAAGGGCTTAGATCTTCTTGTATGAGTTAGAAATGAGTTCAGATAAAACTTTTGGCTCTACTGTTCTGTGATCCTACACATGTCTAAACTAACACTCCAGAAGATGAAGGTAAGGATACCACCCAGGTATTACTGTGACATTACTGCGTGTCATTGTTATTGTGATAATAATGTCTAAAAGGCACTAGAATTTTTCTTTATTCAATATACTGCTATCTTAGTTTGCCACTCACTAGTAACAGGGTCACCTACATGTGGGATTCCTGTGGTAAAATTCAAGAAGGATTTTACCAGGAACCCCTCAGAGATTTTCCTTTCTCAAGACACCTTTAAAATTTTTATTTAAATTATAAAACGGCTACAGCAAGATTTGAAGTTTTTATCATTATCTGCATTATTGAAAATGTTGGCCCAGAACTGGAAGCTGCAAAAGTAGTACAGGGAGGGCCCCTTCACCCAGTTTCCCCTTATGGTAATATCTTAAATACTATAATACAATACCAAAACCAGGAAAATGACATTGGTAGTAACAGAGTTTATCAAATTTCACCTGTTTCACATGCACTCATAGAGTGTGTGTAATTCTATGCATTTTTACCATTTGTTCAGATTCATAATCCAGCACTTTGTCTCTTATAGTTGCTAAAACATTTCAGAATCTAATGATAAAAACCAATAATTACAGTAAGATAGCTGCTTTAATCTTTATTATAATTCTGTGTATTTATGCATTTGCAGGCTGATTCTCCTTACATTTTCTAAGTAGAAGACTATTACCCCAAAATAAAAGTCAATTAAATTTACCCAACATTTGTAAAAAATTTAGGTGTCAGGCATAGTAACAAGTATAACATGGGATAAAAAAAATACAATAAAATAAAGCCAGGTGCAATGGCTCATGTTTGTGATCGAGCACTCTAGGAGACAGAGGTGGGACAATTGCTTGAGGTCAGGAGTTCGAGACCAGCCTAAGCAACAGAGTGAGCTCTCATCTCTAGAAAAATTAGCTGAGTCTTGGTGGAACCTATTTGTAGTCTCAGCTACTTGGGATGCTGAGGCAGAAGGATCACTTTAGTGCAGGAGTTTGAGGTTGCAGTGAGCCATCATGACACCACTGCCCTCATACTTAGGTAACAGAGCCAAACCCTATCTTCAATTAAAAAAAAATAATAAATAAAATAATAAATAAAATAGGATATAGTTGTTTTTCTAGAATTTAAAGGTCAGTTAGGAAGATGGACTCATACGTAAATACTAAGTACTGATAAATTTAATATAATTTCCCAAAACAATATAATACCTTCCCTAAGTGAGAGATGCATAAGAAAGACTCCTAGCAAGAAACAAAATACTCTTTCTAGCTCTGTACCTGCTACTAGGGTAAGCAACAGCAGGCTACCAGATGACGTGCTGGTCATGTACAACTTGTTAAAGCAATATTGTTCTTTGGCAAGAAACTCTAATTTGTAAGAATTTGCAAATCTTTCTTTCTTTTTTTGAGACAGTCTTACTTTGTTGCCCTTGGTAGAGTGCCTGTGGCATCACAGCTCACAGCAACCTCAAACTCTTGGGCTTAAGCGATTTTCTTGCCTCAGCCCCCCAAGTAGCTGGGACTATAGGTGGCTGCTACAATGCCCAGCTATTTTTTTAGAGACAAAGTCTCATCTTGAACTCATGAGCGCAGGCAACCACTCACCTCAGCCTCCCAGAGTATTACAGGCACGAGCTACTGCACCTGGCCAAGATTTACAAATCTTTTAAAGATTTACACATTCTATAAAACTGTATCACTTAACACTTTTTGACTATAAAGAAAATATGTATTTGCTTTGATCTTCGCTCAGAACATACAAAGCTGAAGACATATCATTGCCATTTGATGTTTAACGCAGCTAGTGAAGCAGTCATGCTAAATATTGGTATGCTTTATGCATGTTGCTGGAGGAGGTTTGTTCTTGTTGTTTTTGGGGTTTTTTGTTTGTTTTTAGAGACAGGGTCTTAATTGATTGGCCCAGGCTGGAGCACAGGGATGCAATCATAGCTCCTGGGCTCAAGTCATCCCCTCACCTCAGTCTTCCAAATTGCTGAGACTACAAGCACATCTTACCACACCTGGCTAATTTTTTCATTTTTTATAGCAATAGGTCTTTCTATGTTGCTCAGTCCTGTCTTAGACTCCAGGTCTCAAATAATCATCCCATCTCAGCCTTCCAAAGGGTGAGATTACAGGCATGAGCCACTGCACCAGCCTTGTGGTTTTTAACTACTCTCGTTGTCTCAAGAGGAATTTAAAATTTTAAAGAACAGCAATTAAAATCAAATTCAGGAATGAATTTCAAACTGTAAATTATCCATAGGGACAGCATCAGTTCATAAGAACACTCAAATTCAAAGCAGAGTAATTTTTCTGAAAAAGAAGACTAGCAAGGCTCTGTGAGGGAAGCAAGAGGCAGAAGCTGCACAGCTCAAACCTGGGAACACGATGACACATTGATACTGGTCATCAGAGCACACTGATCACTTATATCGAAGTCTTTTTCCCAATTATTCTCTCCTGTCCACCTGCTCTCTGTTCCCAATCAGTGCTTATAGAAGGCCAGATTTATAGAATCTGTGAAACAAAGAAAATGTCATGCCTGTTTTATCCCTTCTAAAAATGGGAAAATTACTAAACTTTGTTTTGTTATTAAGTAATAGAGATGCTCCTAAGAGAATATCCAAATAAGAAATTTGAGAATAATTTGTTAATTTAATTTAATTATAGGTCTAAATTTCAAACTTTAGCTGGTGAAAATGATAATCTTTTGGTAGAATATGACAAAAAATGTTTTATTATCTTAAACTTTTATATGCCCGAACACATTTTGCCAATAAAAAGTATTAGTACCCAAGGTGAGAAATTCGCAATATTTTCTAGCCTCTCTTAAATCTAGTCTTATGGGCTCGGCGCCTATAGCTCAACAGGCTAAGGCGCCAGCCACGTACACCTAAGGTGGCGGGTTCGAATCCCCAGCCCGGACCCGCCAAACAACAATGACGGCTGCAACCAAAAAAAAAAAAAAAAATGGCCGGGCGTTGTGGCGGGCGCCTGTGGTCCCAGCTACTTGGGAGGCGGAGGCAGGAGACTCGCTTGAGCCCAGGAGTTGGAGGTTGCTGTGAGCTGTAATGCCACGGCACTCTACCCAGGGGGACAGCTTGAGGCTCTGTCTCAAAAAAAAAAAAAAAAAAAATCTAGTCTTATGGTATAATTCCTTTATTTTAGTATAAGTTATGTAAACTTTCTACATTTCAGAAAATACACATAAAATGTAAATATAAAAACACATTCCAAAGCAACTCATATATGTATAATGTATTTTCTCAATTTGTTAGGCTGTCCATATAGTTTACAATGCAAATTGCCATATGGGAAAGAAGATAACAAACTCACCCAGTCAAGGTCTCTAAGGACCCAAGATTGCCTCTCTGCTTTGTTCTTGTTTGTATCTTATACAAAAGCAACACTTTCATAGAGAAATAATTACTATCTGCAAATAAATTCACTGTTTTGTAGATATTCTTAGTCTTCGGGTAACAATGACAACACTTTAGAATTTATTCATTTTTTTATTTTTTTGGAGACAAGAGTCTCTCTTTGTCACCCTTGTTAGAGTGCCGCAGTGTCACAGCTCACAGCAACCTCAAACCCTTGGGCTCAAATGATTCTCTTGGCTCAGCGTCCTGAGTAGCTGAGACTACAGGCACCTGCCACAACGCCTGGCTATTTTTAGAGAGGGGTTCTTACTCTGGCTCAGGCTGGAATCTACCCGTTTTGGCCTCCCAGAGTGCTAGGATTACAGGCATGAGCCACAGCGCCCGGTCAATACTTTAGAATTTAAAACTTCCATTAACAGGCAATAAAGTCTATGTGTTGCCTTTTATAAATGAAAATGATGCACTCGTACATATTATTAATCTACATGTGGGCTTCATTTAGTTTTCAGTGTTAGCAATTATTTTGCATTAAGCCCTGACCAAGTTCTCCCTAAGAGCAATATAAACATCTGAAATATAGCTGTTTGGGGTTAGGGATGCAGTTTGTGGTAAATCTAGTCAACCTCATAAGGCCTCATTAAGTGTTTCTCTAAGGAAATGATTCACTGACTACAGACAAAGCAGAGCCAATACATTCAATAACTGCTGTCACATAGCATATTAACATATGATATGTAGTCTTCAATCTCTCAAAAGATATATTACCTAGTTGGACATTTCTTTCTGGTTGATGAACTAGCCATAGAATTTTCATTATTTGAACTATCAGCAGTTCTACACACTGGATGAATAACAGCAGGAAAAGTAAAATCTGTTACATGATGAACAAACCTGAAACGCTAATGAATATGTTCATTCAGAAGGGAGGAAACACACAAAACACAACACACACAGGCACTCTCACTATCAGTTAATTTTACGACATTTCTCAATATGTATTAAAATAGTATTATTCTTATGAGACCTCCCATACTCATTTATATCCCCTCAAAGCTATAAGGAGTGAAGGTAGAGACTAAGAGTGAAAGAGGAATTAACCCACAGAACTCACAAAGACGGTTACCTGGTAGTCCGGTTTTGTAAAATAATCCAATGAGGAGATATGGTCTAGGAAGATGCTGAATTCTGGAGGGAGATGTTTCAACATGAGCCTATGATCATACCTCTCCTTAATAGAGCCTACTTGCTCCTGGGAAGTAAAGAGAAAAGGAACTAAAGTCAATTTTGCTTGGCATCTATGCATTAAGAACCCTCGATAACAGTCTCAAGGGTATGTACTAGGGAACGAAATAGCAGGTAATTAAGTATAAACAAGAACTGCGCTCTTACTAATAGCATAATGCAGGGTGTTTTAAAGAAGGGAAAAAATGTATAATGCAAAACCAAAAAAGTAAAAGAGTTCTGCATCAAAATTGATAGGCTACAAAAGAATTTATCTTAAATCTGGTCTGCTCTATCAATACATGTGTTTAAAGTTTTCAAATCAAGCAATATGATATGACAATTAAAAGTTAAAAGCTCATTTGACAAAAAAAGAGAACTAGTAGAATTAAAAGCTAAAAGGGAGGGCTAAAAATCAAATCAGAAGCAATGACTATACTTCAATTAGCATCTATTCTCTACCTATGTAGAAAAAATCATAACATTAATTAGATCTCTAATATCAGCTCATAAGAGAGACAAATAAGAATACTGGGATATAGTGAAAGTGCTTATACATTTTAAGGCAAAAATGCTTACTCAGGGGAAATTTTTATTCCTTCCCCTGCCAAAATTAACATCTCTAATGCCCAAATTACCTTGTCTTTTATTTTTCTCCAAGGCAGCTGACCAACCACAAACTCCACCAACATGTAGAATAAGGACCAAAGGTCATCATGTCTTCCCATTTCCTTCATAAACAAAACAGAATTCAGTCACAATACATAGTAAGTGTATTACATTAAGGTCTAACCATTTAGTTTCACTTTATTAACTATATTCCCCACAAAATTATCTGATAAATATACCTGTATACATATATTACATAGCTATATAGCAATCTACATAGCAGAATATGTATTAGAAAACCTTTGGAAACAATACTGGAAGACTCAGAAATGCTGGAAATAATAATATAAATAATGAATAGCCCATTCATTAATGAGTTCATTAAGAAGTAAGGAAAATCCTAAAATCCAAAAAAAATTTTTTAAATTAGAAACAGAAGAAGCAAGCTGATGCTAAAGCTCTAGCTTTGGCTATTCTGGAGGTATCTGTCATAGATTTTATCAACCAGGAAAAGGACAAGTGTAAAGGATTTGGCCCTACACAGGACAGGAGTTGTAACTGAGACTCCCACTCCCACTCCTGCCATATAAACAGGACCCTATAAAGGTTACATCCTTAGAGCAATATCTGGTGAATATATTATACTGTAATACTTTTTTCTGTAAAATTTAACTATTAAATGGACAACATGAATGGTTTTAAAAAGAATTGCCCTTAGAGTTTATTACTACAAGCTTGCTCCTCATTCAGATTTGTCAGTTAAATTTATACCACATGTCTGGTCTCGGAACCCAAACCAAGAAGTTAACTCCAAATGTTTTCTAGGAGATTACGTCCTACAGTAATGACAGAAGCAAATGACAATCCTCTTGTGATGAAAGTGCCCTAAATTCAGGCCTCATAGGACATATAGTACTGTAGATAAAACCTCAATAAATATAAGTTCATTATTCAAAATTATAAAATATATTAAGAAGCAGGCTATGGGCTCGGCACCTGTGGCTAAAGTGGCTAAGACACCAGCCACATACACCTAAGGTGGCGGGTTCAAATCCCCAGCCCGGGCCTGCCAAACAACAATGACGGCTGCAACCAAAAAATAGCTGGGCGTTGTGGCGGGCGCCTGTGGTCCCAGCTACTTGGGAGGCAGAGGCAGGAGACTCGCTTGAGCCCAGGAGTTGGAGGTTGCTATGAGCTGTGATGCCATGGCACTCTACCCAGGGGGACAGCTTGAGGCTCTGTCTCAAAAAAAAAAAAAGAAGCAGGCTATCATAAGCTAATGTCAGGAGTAGCTACAAAGAAGAGAATAAAAAATCTCAGGATTTCAGAAATATAATTATAGAATGCAAAATATAAAATAAGAATGTTGCCAGGTGTGATGGCTCATACCTGTAATCCTAGCACTTTGGGAGGCAGAGGCCCAAGAGTTGAGGTTGTTTCCATATAAAATGAAGTACTAATTTTTCTAGATCTTTAAAGTATGACAGAGGTACTTTAATAGGGATTGCATTAAATCTATAGATTGCTTTGGTAAGTATAGACATTTTAACAATGTTGATTCTTCCCAGCCATGAGTATGGTATATTTTTCCATTTGTTAACATCTTCAGCTATTTCTTTTTTCAGAGTTTCATAGTTTTCTTTTATCTTCTTCTTCTTTTTTTTTTCATAGTTTTCTTTTTTTATTGAATGGTGACTATGTACATTAATGCACTTCTGGGGTACAGTGTGGGGTTTTCACACACAATCCAAAACACTTCCATCAAATTGGTTAACACAGCCTTCGTGTCATTTTCTTAGTTATTATTTTAAAACGTTCACATTCTACTCTTAGAAAGATTCACTTGTACCCTTGTAAGATAAACCTCAGAAGTGATCCCTACAATCCCCCTCCCTCCACCCCATAGTTCTCTTTATAGAGATCTTTCACATCCTTTCTGAGGTACACTCCCGGATATTTCATCTTCTTCGGCACTATTGTAAAGGGAATAGAGTCCTTGATTGCTTTTTCACCTTGACTATTGTTCGTGTATATATAAAGGCTACAGATTTGTGAGTATTGACTTTGTATCCTGAGATGCTGCTGTATTCCTTGATCACTTCTAGGAGTTTTGTAGTTGAGTCCCTGGTGTTTTCCAGATATACAATCATATCATCTGTGAATACTGACAGTTTGATCTCCTCTGATCCTATTTGGATACCCTTCATTGCCTTCTCATGACTGATTGCAATGGCTAAGACTTCCATTACAATGTTAAAAAGCAGCGGAGACAATGGGCAACCTTGCCTGGTTCCTGATCTGAGTGGAAATGATTTCAATTTTACTCCATTCAACACGATATTGGCTGTGGGTTTACTGTAGATGGCCTCTATCAGTTTAAGAAATATTCCTTCTATACCTATTTTCTTTTGCATTCTGATCAAGAAAGGATGCTGGATATTATCAAAAGCTTTTTCTGCATCAATTGAGAGAATCATATGGTCTTTTTTATTTTCTTTAAGTGATGTATTATATTTATAGATTTGCATAAAATGAACCATCCTGGGGATCCTGCGATGAAACCCACCTGGTCATGATGTATATAATTTGTTTGATGTGTTGCTGGATTCTGTTTGCTAGGATCTTATTGAATATTTTTGCATCAATATTCATTAGAGACATCAGTCTATAATTTT